GAAGATGAATTATCATTTATTAGAGAAAAGCTTTATACAAGATATTTATCTACTTAATAGTTGGTTAGGTACATATGTACAACAATTTCAATAAAAGAGTCTACACTAAATATATATATATATATATATATATATATATATATATATATATATATATATATATATATCTATCTTAGATTGTTATGATGTCAAATACTTAAAATAAAATATAAAATAATATTTATCCTATAATGATAAAATGAAATTTTAAAATTAATTGATTCTTAAATAATATTTTAAAATTTAATATATATATATATATTATGGACTAATGAGATTTCAATTTTGTGTTGAATATTTTCTTCTATTTGAAAAATAAAGCCTCAATTATTAAAAAAATATTATTATAAAAGAAATAAAATATATAAATTTAAATTCATAAATATTATCAAGACAACTTTAATGTTAATTTTGCAATATTTCTAAATGGAAAGTAATAAAAATGAGTATAAAAAAATCAAATAAAAACTTCAAGTACTATTTATTATTAACTAAGATAATAAAGTTTTTATTATTCTAATTTTTTAAGTATCTCTTATTATAAGTGCTTAAAAAATGTTTGAAATTATTGTAAGTAATTCTAGTAAGTAAAGTTGTTTGTTGAAACAATCAAAGATAAAAATAAATTATTTGATCATTTTATAAACAATCACATCAGCTCTTGTTATCAAAATTCAATTGATACAATATCTACTCAAAATTTATCCCAATTCATATAACATCTACCAAAATATTACAGAAATTATCAATAATCAATAATAATACAAATCATAATCACAACAAATAAAAATATGCAATTCTTATATGTAAAGAGAATCCACACTCACAAAGAGATGTGGTTGCATGCAACAAATGGAATTTCAGGGAGACATGGCGACATGCAATAATAGTGAGAGAGTAGGGAGACATGGTGACACGTAAATAATAAGATGAAGTTATAGGAAGATGCAACGACAAATAGGACTCAGTCGCAATGCAAATGTATCAGACATCGCAAAAGAAGAGGGGAAGAAAAAAGGGAAGAGGGGAGAGCTTTAAGGGATTTTGTGAATGATGAAGTTGGATAGTACAAATTTTATAATTGGATTGTTTGTGAAAAAAGATTGAATCGTTAGATGTCTACCTATTTGTAATTGTTGAGAGTAACATGCATAAAATTCAAATTTTATCATCCAATGGTAATAATTTTTTTATACTATAAAAACTTAATTAGGGGTAAAAGAAATTTCATATATTCTTTATTTTACTATTTTTCTTCCTATATATATGTTTGTATGTTTTTAGTGAGTTATGAATCCCGTCAAATTAATTATTAATATTATTATAATATATTGCAAAATCAATCCTCTTCTACCAATGAAAACCCATAAAATTCCCAAAATTATATTTATCCATCACCATTTTTTTATGGTTCCACCACCCCCTATCATATCAAATATGAACATCATTCCTTTTTCATCGAACCTCAAGTTTCATTTCCAACCAAAATTGATACTATCAAACTTAATAAAAACAGTGAAATATGTGTTGGAGAAAACTTTGTGTAACATTCTTAGTACCAAAGAATATGATTCTAATTCGATCATTGTTGAATATAATAGTGAAGGATAAAATTGTTGGAGTAGATCAGTCATTAACCAAATATTGTAAGAAAATAAAAAAGACATACAATAATGACGACAAACATCGTGTTTCACAAAGAGGTCAATGAGTCAACTAAAATCTTGATGGAGTAAACTCTTCCTTACAATTCAAAAATTTAATGCATGTTATAAATAAGCTATCAATCAAAGGAAAAGTGGTTGGGCTAAGAAGGATATTATGTCATTCACACATAGGATTTTCACACAAGATTCAAAAGGAAAAAAAAAAAAAATATGAACATATTTGGTTGTTTTTAAGAGATGCAGCATATGACATTCAACGTTTGTGAATGATTCTTTAAAAAGATGCAAAGTACATTCAACGTTTGTGAATGATTCTTTAAAAAGATGCAAAGTTTTTGCTTCTGTTGCATACTCATCATCTTCTAACCCAGACACATCCATTAAAATTGAACAATGTAACATAACATCATCAATATCTCGCCCTATAAAACAAAAGGCATTCAAAAGAAAGAGCAAATGAAAAGTCAGTCCAAGTGCTAGTCTCCATATTAATTGAGTGTAATAAAGGAAAAAAAAATATAAAGTTTGATAAATTGATTAAGTTAAAGAAGTCACAAAAAATGCTTTTGAAGTATGAAATTCTCGTGAGGACATGTTTAAGAAAGAACATGAAGATAATGAAAAATATTGTGACTATACTAGGCAGAAACAAGGATTTTAAATGTACTAGTTGCTACAAATATTAATTGTAATTTTTATAAAATGTATTACTTGTTATGAAAATTAATTATAGTTATTGTGAAAACTAGTTGTTATGAATCTATATATAGATTTACAATGTTACATAATGTCTACAATATTCTAATATTACAATATTATTTTTGAAAATAATATTACAATTATCCATGTAATGAATTTTTGAAAATATTAATTTATTCACATTGTTGCATCAAATAATAGATAAAGAACTTGAAAACAACAATGATGAAAAAACTATGAGATTAATACTTGAATACCAATAATAAGTCGATAATAATATTGGATGACTATTTTGTTAAAAATTTTGTATACACGAAATCTCAAATTTGAATAAGGTTTTGTATGAAGAGGGATATTTTTGTAAGCATTGTGAAATCTCTTACCAATCATGATTATTACTTCACAATTAAGTTAGTTACAACACGAAAAAGAGGTATAACACCTTTGCAAAAATGCATTGTTGTTGTTTGCATATTATTAACTTATAACTCGCTTGATGATAATGTGGATGAATATATTTGAATTGGTAAAAGCACTACAATGGAGTGTTTACGATGTTTTGCATCGAACATTTGTATAGCCTTTGGAGATGAGTATCTAAGGAGACCTAACAATGAAGACATTGACCGACTACTACAAATGGGAGTGATATGTGACTTTTCAGGTATGTTAGGATCAATTGATTTCATACATTGAAGATGAGAAATTGTCCAATTACATGGAAATGTCAATTTTGTTAAGTTGATCATTTTAATCTGATAATCATTATCAAAGTAATGACATCACAAGACTAGCGAATTTGACATGTATTTTTTTGTATCATGGGATTAAATAATGATATTATTGTGTTAAATGCATATAATGTGTTTAATGAAATTATGTTAGGTTTTGCACCTACAATGCACTACACTATGAATGGAACATAATATTACCAGGTGACATTTATCTAGATTTTGTCACATTTGTGAAAACTATTTTGATGTCATAATAAGAAAAAAAAAATATTTGCTCAACGACAATAATAAATTAGATTGAATGTTGAACGTGCATTTGAAATCTTTTAATCTTAATATGTAATCATATATGGTTAGACACGGATTTTAGATGATTATACATTGAAGAACATAATTTATACATATATCATATTTTACAACATGATTATTAAGGACGAATAATATGCTTATCAAAATCATGTTAATTATAATATTAAAGAAAATGACATGTTAACTATTAGTATATGTTAAGGTCCTCGTCTCAATTTTAGATCCACATACTTTCAAAGAAGAATATTGATTCAAGATAAAAACATTTCTTACCAATTTCAGACAAATTTAGTTAAACATATCTAACAAAATTAAAAATAAAAAAAGATAAAAATAATTTTTAAATATATTATTTTATTATTACATATTTATTTATATATTATGTATTTAATATTATTTTTTAAACGAAAATATGATTTTGTGTTATTAATTAAAGTAATTTATTTATATAGAAAAATGAATTAATTATTCATAAAAACAATAATTAATTATTTAATCAAAATATTAATTAATAAATATTATAATATATAAATTTGAATAAAAACATATAATATAATAAATTGTTTAGAATTTATTAAAATTTTAAAAATTATTGAAAAATCATGTCACATTGTGAATTCTATGTGAATGACTTACATTGGAGATGCCACCCATATTCATAAACTTTGGAACAGTTAAAGAAATATTTAAAGAAACTTTGAATAGTAGAGTTGAGTATGTATTAGATAAAGAGTATTCAACTCCACTAGAAAAGCGGGGGAGAGTGTATTAAACTTCTTCTGCCACAACTCATAACCAAAGAAACACTAACGCATCTTTTAATGGCAATTACGTTGACCAGCCTGTAAAGTGTAAACCTACACATCCCCTTCTCTTCTTTCTCACCAATATTGTTTGCTTTTTCTCATCAATTCTCGTGACTGCCTGCAACCATTGGAGAACGGATCCTTTCAAGAAACATTTAGGGTTTTGAATTTTTCTTGTCCTAGTTAGAAATTTGAACGCTTTGATATGTTCTTGGTCTTGACGTGAATTAGGATTCCATTTGCAGGGATTTCATCTTCCAGGAGCAGATTCCGTTTACACCTCAGATAACCTCAAGGTATACCAATTTTCGTCTTTCTTGTATTTCTGGTCATAATAATCCAAAGTGTTTTAAATAGCTTTTTAATTTTTTTTTTATTTCTACATGAATACCTAATTTTCTGCTGACCACGAAACTGAATGTAGGAAAGTTATGACCTTTTTGCTTTTGTTAGAAAAAATGTATGCGAAGGAAATAAAATTTGAAAAACCAAGAAACTAAACTGGGGCACCTTTTTTCTGATATAATAATAATTGGGCATATCACCGGAGAGGACAACCCTGCAAGTTATGTTATATTTCCCTCCAAAAACCCATTACACACTCATATAAGAAACAAAATTAAAAAGTTGATGCCCCAAAGATACTTGGTAGTTGGTAAGATATCAACGATAGGCATGCATGAATCATTGTCTATGTTTTTAACTAAAACTACGCATTTGCTTGACAAAAAGAAGGAAAGAGCAGAATGAAGGTAGGATCTGGTAAAGGGAGAAAAGTGTGCCTTACGGTGACAGGTGTTGTGATTGCAATAGTACTGCTAATTGTGATACTAGCTTTGACTGTGTTCAAAGCCAAGCATCCTGTTATCACTGTGGACTCGACGAAGCTAGAAGATTTTCACATGAGTTTGGATATAGCAAAGCTAAGGGTAGATTTGAATGTGACTCTTGGCACAGATGTCTCAGTGAAGAACCCGAACAAGGTTGGATTCAAGTATTCTGACAGCACTGCTCACCTCAATTACAGAGGGCAGTTGATAGGTGAAGTCCCTGTCCCTGCTGGAGAGATTTCATCTGGTGAGACCAAAGGATTCAACCTCACCCTCACCATTATGGCTGACCGATTGCTCTCCAATTCCCAGCTTTTCTCTGATGTCACATCTGGCACATTGCCCCTAAACACTTTCGTGAGGATTTCTGGCAAAGTCAGCATCTTAGGTTTTATCAAAGTCCATGTGGTTACCTCCACATCTTGTGATGTTGCAATTAATCTTTCTAATAGAACAATTGGGAACCAAGAGTGCCAATACAAGACAAAACTTTGATTAATAGTTTTTAGTTTACGAGTGAAACTATACTTATTGTTTAATGTTCAATTAATTTGTTCATATTTCACTTTGTTTTAATCGTAATTGTGATTTGATCCTACTCTCTCCTTTCCCTCTCTAGAGTTTTCTGGGAATTTATTCGATATTAATTTTCCCATTTTCGTCACTTCATCATAATGCTCACCTTCAAATTAACCTACGTATTTTTATGCTATTTTTAGTTTTAATCATTATGTAATTACAGTTTATTTCCTTCCATATTTAGTCTTATTAAGGTGTTGGGAGTACCCTAAGAACATATTTAATGTGTTTTTACTATTCAATGCATTATACATATCTGTTGATATTTATTTTCCAGGAGCAAAGAGATTTGAGTTCCAGTGCAGGAAAGTTTCAGTCCTCTTATTGTATGTATTCCTACCCTGAAGTTGTTATAAAACTTGACAAGTGTGATAATTCTTTCTTTCGATTTAATTTTATAAAACAAAAAAATTGAGAACAAACTGTACTGTCAAAGGCATGTCCAAGGAAGTAGGTATTACGTAAGTATTGGAAATTTGCACCTAGTGCAGAAAGAAACATTCTAGTTCCATGCTTATGGAATTTTTATTTCTTCTATTTCTCCCCTAATGAATTGAGCCATTCTCATGCTTTGGTCCATCTGAACAAATGTTACCAGCTTTATCGTTGTCCTTCAATAATACTGAATACTACAACTAATTACGCTGGTATAAGCTGAATCATTCATTCACCTTCTTCTATTTTTCAGTCTCTAAAGCTTGTGATAGCTTGAGTGAGTTCCACTTGAGTCGTTGTTAATTGGAACTTGTTGCAACAGATTGGGTTTGAGAAAAGAGTTTGATTACTCTGGTTAAAATCCTATGCTTTGTATACCAAGAAAACTTTTGCAACTGATTGGGTCTGCCGAATAAGGTCAAAGCATTTGCGGTTTAAGAAAAGATGGGCTGAAGCATCGGAATATGAGGTTGTGCTCAAGCTTACTATACCAAGAAGACTTTCCCCGCAGTTGGTACAACGTAAAGTAAATGACAAGTTTGAATACCCCCATTAATATTTATGGTAGCACCTAAAATTTCATTTTGTGAAGACCATGGTATGTCAGCCTTAATAGATAAACAGGACCCTGCGTGGGTGCAGCACCCTGAATCCTCTCCGCAACTACTATATGATAAGGTTGGAACTGAATTAATATTTTATTACATGTCTCAGCATCCTCTCATGTTAAAAGCTAATGTCTTGTTGCATTCTACTCCTAACATGATACAATAGTGCACAAAATTAGTAGAGGATTATATATGCACTTTGGAGACTTGTTGGGTGCAAACAATCTTTTCAAAGAAAAAGAAACGTGAGTAGAATTAGTAGATTACTAAAGAAAACAACGGATGTGCATGGTTCTTGAATAGAAGCAATCTTTTCAATCAGACCACATACTCTTTAAATATAATTAATGATAAATATTAGTTGATTATTGTAAAAGATTTTATTAACTCCTAAATCATATTGAGTAAATTTTATTATTTCAAGAATTTTTAATTTATGAGTTGTAGGAAGGAATTTAGTTATCACAAACAGACTAAATTGACTTATTATACTCTTTATTATGAAACAAAAGATACTGATATTGAGTAACACTTCAACCAGGAGTTCTACGTAAAGAAGTAGGTGCCGCTGGTTGAATTTTTTTCATTTTGAAGTTCTACATGAAAAAGTAGGTTTCGCTGTTTGAATTTTTTTCATTTTGAATCAGGATTCTTCTACTTCATTTTTATTTATTTGTTTATTTTTTTTCTTTCATCATTCCTTAACTCGCACAAGGTTTGCATGTTTACACTTACTGAAGAACTTTTTAACACTTTATACAGGCTCATGATTTACTTATCTTCGCCATTAGTTATATAGACCTGGGTTTTCTTTTTGAAGTCTGTAGTGTATATCCCTTTTTAAGGTTTGCTGCGATAGAACTCTCAGTATTCAGTTGTAAATAATTTTCCCCATATTTGAAAAAAATAATAATAACATCCCAACTATATGGAACGGAGATCACAACACTCTACATCGATCATGTAATACCAATGTATTAAGAATTGAGAAAGGAAAATAGTTGCGCAGAAACAAAATTGATCTCCCCATGCCAGCTTTTCGATCAGCTAAGACTAAATTTCTTTCCAAACAAGATGAAGGAAGAAACGACGAGTCAAGCATCAGTCCAGGTATTCGGTGAAATTTCAACGTTATTAAGGATTTCAAATTTACATCAGTAGTCACTAATCACTGATAAAAAGCAAATATCTGAAAAAACTCCATTGGTTGAGAAGAACATTATTTCACCGACGTAAGGTATCATTCAAGCTTGAACCATAGCAATCACCAATATTATCAATATATGATATTAAATTGGTTTAATAGCATCAGTTACACAACATAATTGCAATAAAATTGAAGCAGACCAACTTCATAAAGAAATTAAAACTGGAGAATAATTCATTGTCAAACAAACTAACGTCAATAGTTTACTATACAATGTAGCTGCTGTATGTCTCAGCTCGGTCAGATGCAACTGTACCCTGTTTAAGAAACATTTTCCCTGAACAAAGTTATGTTACAAATTAGAGAGATACAGCGTCAAATTAACAGCACAAAATGCAGTTGCGAATGAATGTTGTTTACATCGAGATATAAAACAGGGTGGGTTGAGTTTGAGTCAGAATTCAAGCTTCTTGCATAACCTCAGATCAATGTTCCTAGGAGGAGCCGCTGGTTTCATAGGTGCACCAGGACATGTATCAGCAATTCCAATGATACAGGGCGCAGAAGGAGGTGTTTCACAATCGTCTGACAGTTGAGCGAGAACCCCCTCAGCCTGCTTGGAAACAATAACTTGCAAAAGACTCTCATACACTGACTCAACCATGTCCTCGTCTGAAAGAGTATCAGTATCTGCCCGAGCATCATCAAAGGATGGATGAAAATCAAGTCTGCGGGCGACGGTGTTCCTCAAGTCGTCAAGATACTTGTTACTGTTGGGTGCCCGCGCCATGCTATCAGGACCAGGTGCAAAGGGGTCAAAAACACCATCCTTAGGAGTTCGAGGGCTACCAATACTACCATTGTCATTGTCATTATTATTGTCAACACAGCCACCACGGCGGTCAGAATCGCAATGAATGCCCGCACGTTTGAGTTGTTTCCTGACCACTGAGAGTGTGAGAGGGGATTGGGATTGGAAATCCCCATTCTCGGTGAGAGCCTCGGGAGTTATAGGAACCGCACAATCGGTGTCAGCTTTCAGATTTGGAGTAATAGCATCTTTCATTGAGTCTTTGCACAGATCCACAGAAGCCATAAGCTACGCAGCAAATTACAAATTGGGTTTAGACGTTTAGTTCTGCGCACACTATCCCCCGCCCCCAACCAACCACACAATGCCTATATTCACACGCACACGCACAAAACAACAAAAAACCCTAATTTACCTCTCCAGCCACAGTACAAGTAAGAAGGAAAGTAATTAAACTAAAATAATTTCAAGCATCGTTTTTTTTTTTTTCCTTTGCTATCTTAAGTTTCTCCCATTCCACTTCATCGGAGATTAATCACGCTCGTGATACATTATTGATCCGACAAGTTTTCCACGAGGCTGAAATCGAACACAGGTCACAGGCACAAAACAAAATCATAAACCCTAATTTACCTCCCCTGCCGCACCTGCCTTAAAACACAAGAATGAAAGCTATAAAAATAGATTCATTTAAAGCATTTTTGTTTAGGCCTTTGACGGCAAATTTGAATCCACAACATGAACCTATCCGTTGAAAGAATGGTTTATGTGGAGATTAATGTAGTATGAATTTGAGGAGAGCGAAAAAGAGAGTACCCGAATGAGTTGGCAGTCGAAGCACGAGAAAGAAAGAAATTGACGGATGGACTCCTCTTCTCTTCTCTGCAGCTGCCAAGGAAGATGTCTCGTGAGTGCCAAATAGCGCCAACCTCCCACTCCCACCATTTATAGCCCATCAATCACACGTGTCCTCCATCTATTCGCCACACGCTCACCAACTTTTTACGTCTTTTCGTTCTTCCTATCTCAAATCTACTTTATTCGTATCTTTCACTTTTACAATTATGCACTTCGTTCTTTTATTTATTTATTTATTATTATAACCGATGATTTATTTTTTCAAAAAATTAAGAAATTTATAAATATATGTATTTTATTTATATTTAATTATTGATGTTATACTTTTTATGGATTTGATGAAGATCTAACAAGTTAAAAAATTATTACATATGAAATAATTTATTTTATTTTTCCCTTCTGGATGTGTTCATGAATAAAATTCCTTAAACAAATCAAATGTCGAGGATTGCTACTCCGTTTGATTTCTTAACTGCAAAGAGTGTTTAAAAATACTAAAGATATATCAGTTTGAAAGTTCAAATAATGACAAAGTTCGAATTGTTGCTTTGTCAAAATTATATTCAAAACTTAATTTATATACAGAAAGGAATTTTATCTATTAGAATTAAACAAGAAACACTTTTAAATAATTACCATTTATCATTCTCAGAAATGAACATATAATACCTTCAAATTCTTCGTCTGATTAGTTTACGAACGAAAACCTAAGTCATTTGAAACGTGTAACAGGAGTTCGCTTCATGTGAAATAAGCACCAAAGTAAGTTTGAAATAGCGTAATACCAACTTTAAGCAGATACATTGTTAATCTTATTAATCAGAAAACTAAATTGCATCAATGTTTGTGATTAATAAGGTTTGGCTAAAGGATGCTTATTTATCTTTAGTTTCATGAATTCCCTTTAGTATGACAAAAGGATGCATATTTATCTTCGTCAATGTAAATTGAAATAAGATAATCACAAACATTGAATTAGCTCAAAACAACTTAACTTGATAATAGCCAAACAAAACTGCATCAGAAATACAAAAAACACCAAAAGCACAGAAGGAGACTTCAAAAGGAAGTGAACAGGCGTGATCCATTAACATACATAAGTGTAAGAATCATAACTTGGAATTTGAACATACAAAATTTGTTGGGGAACCAATAAAAAACACAAGAAATCACTTTTCCTGTCAGTTGGGTTTTCACGCCCCCTACCCCTCCAAAATATAAAATTCCTTTAACGTGAAACGATTCCACAAGAATTTCAATGGCAGGCCTTTTTTCTTTAACTAATTAAATGACTAGGGCTTCAACCAATCTATTTGCCTTTTCTTCTTTTACCATTTTTACCAAACTTTTTGCCCTTCGTGGACTTGCTCTTGATATAAGAACTCCTGTTGGCCTTTTTCTGCCTTTCCTTTCGAATTTGATCCATATCTTTGATTTCTGAACGCACATGAGCATTGGGCATTGAATGCTGCTTCTTGCTTCCTTTAAAATTCCTACGACCTCTTTGGTAAGATCCTGTATAACATGAATTAATAGAGTTTCAATACTTACCTTTTATACCAAACAAAGATATCATATAACCATACATCTTTGACGTTACCAACAAACAGTGGAAAGTTAAGAAACATGACAGAAATGTGACAGTTTCAAAAATTGAGATTCAGGATTTTGATGAACCAGATTAGTTGAAAGAAGAAAAAATAAAAACACAATCAAGATCGATGAATACTGCAGCCCCTAGATCATGCATTTCAAACTCTATATAAGAAGGAATGGTTGTCAAGTTTGACTAAGATATAATAAAACAATAAAGTAAAATCAATTTATTGGCTATGAAAATTATTTTCAATGTAATCTCATCACGACTCGAGACTTCTTTGTAGTATTGCAAGACCAATTAGATGCTTACTCAGCATGATCCTTATTCTGATTGAATAGCAAAACAATATATAATATAAACAATGATTTGATTAGTATACAAGTTTATTCAATTTCATTGAGTCTAGTAAACTTCTATAATTACCAACTGCTCAAGAACCCAAAACGAATGTAGGGGCATTTTGCACCCAAATACCAAGATAATTCTTAATGCTGGAATAATATGAGAGAACTCATGCAGTACCCAACAGTATTTATTTCTTGGATGATAAATAGTAGTTACCAGTATAACTGTTCATCATCAAACATAAAAATCAAAAGAAGAAGCAAACTATGTTAGGTACCTGCCAAACTTGTTGATTCCTGAGGATCACCTTCATTTGTCCCTTTAAGTGATATCTTACCGTGAGAGCGTTCTTTCCACTTCTTATATATACCAGTCTTGGTGGCCTTCGTTTTGGCACCACTCTCTGTCTTTATCTATATTCAAATGGAAAATATATATATATTATGCCTAATTCTTACAGGTAGGTGAATAAAAGAGTCTCATCTTGCATAGTAAGTATCAATATAAACGAAGGGGTTATACGCATGGTACCTTTCCGTTTGCAGCAACACGGTCACCATTGTTTAACTTGATGTACTTTTTACTTCTCTGACAACAAAAGGTTCATATGAGAAATGACAGTTTTTCAAAATGCTCAAATAAAATTTTAAAAATAACCGTCTTCACCATAAATCAACCACACTTTAATATTACCTTATCCCAGTGATACATAGATCTTTGTTTCTGAATGCCAGTACCATCATCTGCTACTAGATCAAGGACAGCTGATTCCAATCTAAAATTATTGAGTATCATAAGTACCAAAATCAAACAAGCAAAAACTAAAAACCTTAGAAAGGATGGGATTGTATAAGTAAGACTGAATCATATACATGCTGATAGTCACAACATAATATACAAGCAAACAAATTAAACACCAAAGCACAAAACACAATCAGCCAAAACTTTTTATAACTGGGCTTCGGAACTAATGTTTTAGAATATGGGCCACCATGAAATAATGTTTCACAATAAAATCATACCCCACCCCCCAAAAAGAAAAAAAAAAAAAAAAAAAGAAGAAGCAAATAATACCTATTTGAAGCAAAGTCTTCATTGGCTTTCACTTGAAGGCCAGCCTCCATATGCTGAGAATGATAGCAAGATTATATAGTATCAACACTTTTTATCTCAGAAACATAACCACCACAAATATAGTTTATATCTATATTATTAACTATGTAATTCAGATAAATATAAAGAATAGTAATTCAGCTAATAACTTACTTGATTTTTTGGTATTGAACTTATATAGTGATCCTCATCCTTGAAACTTTCGGGCTTTCTCTTAGAACCACGTGTTGCTAAAAATAAAGTAAACAGAATAAAAAACTAATCATCATATTTTGTCTAACTTAATTCTTCTAGTCTTCATTCACTCAAATCCTAATTAACCATACCCAAGTAAAAGTAAACCTTGAAATTTTCTATCAATTTTAATCTTCATATTCTTACAATGACACAAGAAAGGAACTTGCTGGATAAAGCAGGGAAAGAAATTAGATCGTGATGAAGTTCATTCCCTTTACAAACTAAAAAAATACAATGATCAAACTTAAAGAATGTTAAATGACAATATAAATGAAATAAAACCTTTTCTTCCTTTCTCCATGGAAGGACTGATTTCTGATTCAATTTCCTCCTGCAAGGAACATACATATAGATATCCTCAAGAGATGAATAAGCCAAAAGGAAATTCAAAATATAATTAACAACTAGATTAGTCAGCAGAATATGGCAGGTCATTTCACAAAAAGGAGATTGAATTGTACAAACCCAAATTTCAGCAGTAATCACATACCTTTTCCTTATTACTCTTAGACTGCTGCTGTTCATGAACCAAATTTATAATATTCTCATGAATGGCTCTTTTCCTTTTCATCACATCGACCCATTGCCCAGAAGGGCCCTACAATTATTATCACTTTCAATGAATAGGAAAAGTAGAAAGACAACAACATATGCACATCACAACAGACATTTCAAGGGGGTATATTGAGTCGCATGCAGCATAAACTCTGATATGATATATCACAGAACATGAATGAAACACTGACAATGACATTCAATCTATATAAATGACACAAAACTATTGATGAATACAACATACCCACACTAAAAAATAAGAAAGTGGTTGGAAATTGGCTTAGAAAGTCAAACAATAAGAATGTGATAGGGGATTGGGAAGTTCACATAAAAGATAAATGCTGAATTAATGACTATGACATTGCAAAACAGCACATAATAAAATATATGAGCTGTAAACAAAGCAAAGAGTGAAAAGCATCTTCAATAAATGTTTATGGACAGGTATAATGCGAGTCTTACATAGTGCACAATTTTAACTATTTTATGTAAAAGTTACCAAATTTCAGGTATGCAAATATATTGAAATGAAAAATGTTAAGTTGTATAAGAGAAGCATGGATTTTTAATGTTACTCTAGATACCAAACCAAACAGTGAAATTATGAAATTACACCAGAATATGGAATTCTAAATTGGACACAATATGGATAATGTATATAAAGTAGAAATCCACCTGTTGATGCTTTGATTTAGCTGCTTCCCCCTCAGCTTCTAAAACGGTTTGCTTTGGCCTGACATTGAATTATGAAAGCAATGCAACTATAAAATTTAGAGAAAGAATGCAAGTAGAAAGGATAACTGCATAACATAATCTTGCACTCACCTAAACTTTTTTAAGTGCTCAGAAAATGCAAGAGCTGTTAACTCCCCAGTTTCCAAGACCTTCATGAACATTGGATGCAGCCCTTCACGAGGCAAATCCTTTACTCTTCTGATGGACTCCTTTGCAGGTAAGGGCTTTGTTTTTGAATATAAACGAAAAGCATTTTTACAGGTTCTCTTCAACAATTCCAATTCTGCAGAAGTATCAATAATTTCCCTAACTCTGTCTGAAACAAGGTCAATGACTTTTTGTGGGAAACGACCATAAATGGTTTCTCTATTTGTCATTGCCTGGTCACATCTAGACATTACTCCATCCATATCCTTCAAGAACTCTTCTTCAGTTGGAGCAGGTTTGATTGGTTTTGAAAGAAACAAATGAAGATCCAATAGGTAGGCCATATCCTCAGGAGTCACAAAAGAATATGCAGTACCAGTTCGACCAGCCCTTGCAGCCCTTCCAACCCGATGGACAAATATTTTAGGCTTTGGGGGGAAGTCCCAATTGATAACATTATCAAGCAATGGAATATCAATGCCCCGAGCAGCAATGTCGGTCACAATCAACAACATGGTCTTTCTAGCCCTAAACCTAGATACATGGATTTTGCGAGCATCTTGATCCATGTCTCCATAACACACAGACGGTTCAATACCCTCTTCACGAAACAAAACATTGAGAAACTCCACATGATGTTTGGTGGAAACAAAAATCAAAGTCTGCTCATCAGAACCAATATGGTCCCTAATCAAGTAGAGCAAGGCGGCGTACTTCTCCTCCTGCCTCAAGGTGAAGAAGGCGAGCTTCAAGTCGGGGCTGATTTTAGTTTCCAAGTCGAGGCGGACAAGCTGAGGATCCCTCAAACCAGCCTTCGCAAATTCAGCAAGCGCACTGGGCAATGTGGCACTGAAAAGCAAGGTCTGCCGATTCTCTCCGAGCTGAGCAAGAATTTTATGCAACTGCTCCGCAAAACCCATGCCAAACAAACAATCGGCCTCGTCGAAAACAACGTACTCCACACTGCGTAAGGTCATGTCCTCAACCTCGGACAGATGGTGCATGAGCCTACCAGGAGTGGCAATTATAATGTCAGGACTCTGAGCCAACTCCTCAAACTGACTCTCCATACTATCTCCGCCAACCAACAAACTAACACGAAGGTCTGGCAGAAGGAAATACGGAATCAAATCAAACGAAATCAAAATCAAAATCAACCAAAGCAACTTTGAGAAGCGAACCTGTGAAGTGGCCAAGCTCTTTGGTGAACTTGAGAGTCTGAAGGGCTAAGTCCCGAGTTGGGGACAGAATTAGCGCTCTGACTCCAGACTGAGGGACGTGCTGGTTGAGGCGGTGAATCATGGGGACGAGAAACGCCGCCGTTTTACCAGAGCCAGTGCGAGCCATGGCCACGACGTCGGAGCCAGAGAGGATGAGGGGCATAGTCTTGCGCTGAATGGGAGTGGGGACTTTGTACCCTTTGCGCTTGATTCCCCTGAACACGTTCGGACTCAGACCAAGCGACTCAAAACCCCCAGATTTCGTATTCTTCTTCTTCTTCATCGCTCCTCTCCCTTCCCCTCCCATCGTTCGTCTTCGTACTCTGGTTCACCTGGGGGAGAAGAATTAGGGTTTTTATTAATATATATATATATATATATATATTTTTTTTTTTTTGTTTTTTTTTTTTTATAAATGTTAATATGCTGGGGACAACAAATTATAATAGAAATTGTTTCTAATCAACCTGATTCTCCCTCTTTGCAATTGTTTCACCTAAATAATAATAATAATAATAATAATAATAATAATAATAATAATAATAATAGGGAATAATATAATTGAAATTATATTTATAAATAGAGAAATTAACCAGGTTTTAAACCATAAATTTCTCAATGGTAATTATTGGTTTTACATAAAAATCAAATAAAAAAAGTAACCTATCATAATTTATTTAAAAAATCTTAAAAAATGGTTTTAAAAACAATTTTGAATTATTATTTTTAATTAAATAAATTATTATAAAAGTCTTGATTCAATTTACTATTCTAAAAACCTTTATTTAATTTGAACTTGGTGCAAACTCAAGAAACATTTGTTTTAAGCTATAATATTACATTTCTTAAACATATTATTCTTAATATTTTTATTTTTTTATAAATAAATGTCCTCCGAAAATTTTATAAAAGATGGAACCTATAATCATTCCTACTTGTTGACACATTACTTATTTTATCATATATTGAACCAAGCAAATCAGTTTTCACACATTCATAATTATTAACTTTGTTATAAGTAAAACATTTAATAAATTTATATATACAATAAGTTTTTTATTCGTAAATTGTTCAATGATAACAATATTTGACATTGCAATGCGTTTTAATTCTCCTGGTACCATATATTTTAGGCAGGTATGGAATATAAAACTAGTAAACGTTTGGCTCCAAGCTTTGTTATAAAATCTGTAGCGTATCTTAAGGAAACGATTTATTAACTCTTCATTTTGCAGGCTCGTGTTATAAATGAATTGGCTAAGAAACATTTTGGTTTAGTAAAGAACAATCCCAAGAAGTTTGAAATCGAATTCTTAGAACCAAGAAAAAAAAATAGCTTGGAGAAACAAGGAGAATTTAGAAATTCAACAAACCTAAAATGAAGCTGATATAATCCAGTTTAATATTATAATAATCATTATAAGCTTTTATAAAAATAAAAAAAAATTAAAATTACTATTATATTATTAAATATAGTTGTTGGATGAATATATGTAAAAAAGAAAAAAGAAAAATAGGTTGTCAATTAATCTTTATCCAACCTAAATTCTAGTGAAATAAGGGTCCAAGAAAATTTTAAATTTTAAAAATAGACTTATTATTATAGTTTATTAAAGAAAATTATAAAATAAAATTTTCAAAATTATAATCAAGGTTTTATGTTATGGAGTTGATTAGGAGTAAGAAAATATTAATCCTATATAATATCCATTCTAAAATAGTTACTAAATGTGTAAAATAAATATTATTTTTTAAAAATATTTATATATCATAAAAATAAATATTTTTGAAATTTATTTTTTAGGTATGGCAATGGCTTTACTCTACATATCTCCATTTAAAATGGAAAATTAAGATTACATAGTTATTTATAGAAGAAAAAAAAAACTAAAATCAAATAGGAAATAAGGTTAGAAATCACTAAAACGGACAATAAAATACTAGAAGCCACTAAAATGAACAAAAGCTAAAAGTCGCGATCAAGTATGAAAAAGTAAAAAAACCAAAGACTCTCATACTCTAAAATCAAAGGCATCCCAGACCAAACAAAACAACATCTAACAATATAACAGTCAGAATAAAAGTTTAAATATTTACAACCAGGGACAAAATGACAACTGAAATAACTAAATCCCCAACCAGAAACAAGTACAATCAAGCACATCTCATTGTCAATAACAGACTAAAATCATCAATACTATGAAACCAAAATTTGAACAAAAATCTAGTAGCATAACAACAGTAATATGACATATAGTCTAAACACAGATCGAAAAGTTACAAACATCAAAACTTAATTCGATGTTAAAACCTGTAGCAGACTCAAACACAAACAGAACAATCCTAATAGTTTGAAAGTAAACACAGATAGCTCCAGCAACACCAAACACGATCAAAACAAACTTCAGACATCTCAATACATAAAAAATAAAGGAAAGAAAAAAAATAGGAAACATACCCCATAGTCACGGCCAGTGAAGAGTGGCGTGTGGGTCGACTGAAGCGCGACACTAGGGGTACATTGCGATTGGGGCTCGCGTTAGCACGGATTGGATGTAACAATAGAGAATAGAAGACCCAATTGTCATTACAATCACCCTTAGCTCTCAAGAGCAATAGAGGAACAACTCTAAAATTTTATTGATTGACTTCCAGAATTTACAACGAGTGTTTATTTATAACCCTTAATTCCAGTACAACTATGTTTTTCCCTAATTAACCACTAACTTCTATTTATTTGCCACTGGAATGATGTATTTGCCAAACTCAATTGTTTATAAGGTTGGATCATCAAATAGACTAGGTCTCCACATTGAAACTCCTTATCTACCCACTTGATATCAACATATCTTTTCATCCTCTCTTGGATCCTGTGTAAATTGTCTTGCAACAGTTTGGAAATCTGCTCTCTTGTTCTCACATCATAGGCAATTGCTTCAACTAACGAATCTTTCTATATTGTAACATTTAGCATTGATGGAGGATAAATGTACAATGTTTTAAATGGTGTCATCTTAGTTGTTGTGTGGAATTTATTGTTGCACCATAATTCTATTGAAGAAATATGCTATATCCATTTCTTTGGGAGGTCGTCAGTTACACATCTTAAATATTCCTCTTAAGCTTTATTTAGGGTTTCAAGTTGTCCATCTATTTGAGGGTTAAAAGTAGTAGACCTTAACAACTTAACCTCATGTTGCTTCATCAACTTAGTCCAAAATACATTCATGAAAATGCTATCCCTGTCAGAAATTATCTTAGATGGCCAACCATGTAATTTAATAATAATATTTAAAAATACTTGTCCCACTTTAACTACTCCAAAAAAATGAGCTAATGGTGTGAAATGAGCATATTTTGTGAATTTGTCACAAACTACAAATACAATCACCATATTGTTAGACTTAGGAATACCAACAATAAAATCAATTGAAATGGATTTCCAAGATCTATCTGAAATAGAAAGTGGTTGAAGTAACCCAACCAACATTTATAATAAAGACTTATTTTTTTGATAAGTGATACATTCTTGTACTCATTGTTTGACTTCTTTTTGAACCCTTTTCAATAAAACTGATATTTAATTCTTTTGTAAGTTAGGTCATCTCTTGATTATCCATCCATCACAATGTTATGAAAATGATGTAGTATTATTCTTTTTATGTTCTTATATGTCTCAATTACTATTTTGCCTTTTTTTTCTTAGAATTGTTCCCTCCGATAGTGTTTGTATAAACCTTGATGCAACCTTACTTTATCTACTATCTTATGTAGTTTTGGATCTGTTTTCCATGAATATTTGACCTCTATTAGCAACTAAGATGTAACATGAAAGATTGCAGCCAAAGTACCTCCTTGTTATTATCTTGATAGTGCATTAACCACCACATTGTCTTTACCTTTTTATATTCAATACTGAAATCCAGACCCATAAGTTTCTCTCACTATAAAAAAAAACAGTATTATCTACGACAAAAATCCATAGGTAATGACAAAAATCTGTAGGTAATATGGTCGTAGGTAATTTACGTACGAAATTACTATTCGTAGGTAATGTCGTCTGTGGGTAATTACTTACGGATTGTGTCCATGGGTAATTACCTACGGATTGTAATCCGTGAGTAATTTCCTATGGATTGTAATCCGTGGGTAATTACCTATGGACTGTGTCCGTCGATAATTATCCATGGATTACAATCCGTAAGTCAAATTTACCTACGAACTAGAATCCATAGATAAATTATTAGGTAAATTTAAAAAAGTTCACCTCACCACCACTAATTTAACTAAATTTTACCTGTTACATACATATTACACACAAAATATTTAGATATCAAATTTAACAACAATATTCCATAATATTGATATGCACCAAGTGCATATTCAGATATCAAACACAAATCCTAATATTAGCATGCATCAAATAGTCATTCAAATATCTAAGAACATATAAATCTAAAGAAGTACTGTAATAAATATTACGACAATATTGTTTGAGTGTCTTAATAATTTGAGTAATGTCCTTGTTCATTTTGAGGCTGCTCTGCGGAACCTGATTGTTATTGATGTTGTGACTGTTGTTGTTGTTGTTGTTGCTCCTGTGATTATTGTTGCTCTTGTTGTTGTGATCCTTGTTAGGAAGGTTGTTGTTGAAATGCTTGTCGGGCATCAGGTGGAAGTAAAGGAAGGACAACACTGACAAGTGTTTGTAATTGGCGGCTCAATCTTTTAATATTCTCCCTATTACTAAGCACTTGTTCCTTTAATTGCGTAATCTCACGAGAATCATTAGATCCTGAATATGAGAGGGTATCTCCAAGCCTAAAATTATGGGGCAAGTTCTTCAACACCGTAGATCCGACCTTTTTTGTTGCCACCTACAGCAAGAACCCAACTTTCAGTCCTTATTCTCTCCTCCTCCATAGGATCTAATGAAGATGACTCGATTTTAGCAGCACAGGATGTTGTCTCAGATCTAGCCTGAGAGTATCTTCTCTGAAATTTTTCATATTAACATACAAATAAAAATTATGCATTATATACAACACATATCCATCATAACATATAAGAGAGTAATAGAGTAATATTAAATAAGTTCACAACTCATATGAGTTTTTCTAGAACTTTCATCAACAAATTCACCATTAACCTTTCATATATGAGTCTGTTTGAACATCTCATCAATATGTGCAGGACGACCCAACTCCTTTTTCTGCAAAAAAAATAATTAATAACATATCATGAAGAAATGAAAGAAAAAAACTTTTGTTATAATTGCATATTTACCATACGAATGGCGTGTTCGTGCATACTAATAGAACCACCTGTGTGTAAAATACCACCCGTCTCAAAAGCTCGATTCTTTTGAGCTTGTGCACACTTTGCACGATAATCAGTTGAGTTCCACTTGTTCAACAAAGCATTCCACACATCATCAAATATCCAATAGGGCTTCTTTCCTGCCCTTCTAGCATCTTTGAACATTTCAGATAGCCTATGTGAGGCCTTTGAATGAAAATTCTTTCGAATCTTTTCCTCATCTTTAGGTCTCCAGGTGACCTTTCTCTTTGCAAATGATTTACACAAACAAACAAATAATAATAATTGTGTCAATGAATGTTAGTAATAAAAATAATTCATCAGCCTAAATATAAGAAAACTTACTTTAAACCGTTGAAAGAATGTCTCTTTTTCAACATCAGTCATTGAACCCCATGTCAGTCATGGCTTAGAATATTGTTGCTTAATAGTCATTGTTATAGCTTGTGATGCAACCCAACATGGATGGAACCTTCGCCAAAAAATTAAATTAAATAATTATCACAATTTCCTAATACTTACAAATAATGGGAATGATATAATTGTAACTTAATTCTTACCCTAGACCATAAGGTGATATGCTAGGAAGATTAGTGCCAAGTGGATGATCCTCCTTAATGTCTGATTGTGCCTCACCTTCCTAAATATGCACTTCTTGGTCTTCCCCAACTAGTGTATGATGGACTCTAGAAGGCACTGATAATGGTGATAGTGCTTGAGACCTAGAGGGTAATGTAGGTGAGACTAAAGGTAGTGGTGATGGTACTGATGACACTGAAGGCAATGTAGCTCTTGGGGAAGGTGTTGATGCAATGACAGGTGATGGACTACGGTTGGGTGCATCGACTGGGGACAGGGCAGAAGTGGTTGTAGGTGCAATATTGTCTGTATGGGCATGTATATTCTCAGCAACTGCAGGTGAAGAATGTTAGAAAAGTAGTTTTAAATCAAGAGGGGGGGTGAATTGATTTTTGAAAGTTTTTCGCAATAAACAGATTATCTAATTCGAAAATTAAGTTTACTAATCAATTCACGAATCACAAAGCAATTAAACAATACAAGCGCAACAACTGAATTTAAAGAGAGAAAGGTTAGGAAAGATTTCACCGGTAATTTTATACTGGTTCACCCAATACCAGGGCTACGTCCAGTCTCCAGCCAAATTCTAGCTGGGTTCCACTAGAATAGATGTTTTACAGACTCAACAATCTTACACCTACTCTAACACCGTAACCAATTTCCAGTTCTCGACTTTAACCTTTCCACCAAGAACCAAATTCCAGTTCTTGGAAACCTCTCGCAACCAAATTCCAGTCGCAGAGAAACCAAGTACCCAAATTCCAGGCACCACACGAGTACAAGAACCAAATTCCAGTTCCGCACTTAACCTCTCCACCAAGAACCAAATTCCAGCTCTTGATAACCTCTACAACCAAATTCCGATTGCAGAGAAACCAAGTGCCCAAATTCCAGGCACCAAACGAGTACAAGAACCAAATTCCAGCTCTCGCACTTAACCTCTCCACCAAGAACCAAATTCCAGTTCTTGGAAACTTCTACAACCACCTACCAACTGCAGAAAACTTGTACCCAAATTCCAGGCACAACACAATACAAAGTAATGAAAAAGAATTTACAAAGAAGAGACTTAGAAAGCTCAAACCGGATTACTCTAATCCACAGTAAGTTTCTTCTTCACAGAATGCAATATGCCTCAAGAAAGATTTCAAAAAGGACTTCACAAAACAGCTTGTAATTCTTTCTTGGAAAAAGATGCTTAACAGCTTGCTTGTATTGATTGCTTAGTTTGTATGAAAACCGATATTCAATCTCTATTTAAAAGTTTCAAGCAAAACTGTTTTTAAAGAGAATTTTCAAATCTGCTGCATTAATTAATCTGTTGAAAGTTTGTTTTAATCTGTTGAAATAGCCGTTATAATCTGTTAAAAGTCCTTTCAACCCATTAATGCGTTCTTGTTCTTTAACAAAATTGTTTTTAGTTGATACAACCATGTTTATATCAGTTAAAACATTTTACAAACATTTTCTAGAGTGATTCAATCGATTGATTCGCGTTTTAATCGATTGATTTACTTTAAAACTTTCTTATAAAACTTTTCAAGTTATTTTAAGCTGATACAAAGAAGTTTTAATCGATTAAAAACCTGCACAGAATTTTTCTAAGTTGTTTTAATCGGTTGAAACGCGTTTTAATCGATTGAAACTCAGTACAAAGATTTTCCAAGTTATTTTAATCGATTGAAATGCGTTTTAATCGATTGAAACTCTGTACAAAAATTTTCAAGTCATTTTAATCGATTGAAATTCGTTTTAATCGATTGAAATAAGTCTGATCGGTCATAATTCAATTCTGATCGATCATAACCAACTCTGATCGGTCATAATTTCATTCTGATCGATCATCCTGACTTCAAAGTGGTTTTAATCGATTGAAACGTGTTTTAATCGATTAAAATAAATCTGATCGCTCATTTTTAAAGTCTGATCGATTATATTTCATTCGACTGTCATATTCGAATTCTAATCGGTCATAAAGGGTTTTAATCGATTAAAAGAAGTTTGTATCGATTAAAATACTGTAAAAACACTTCTTTACGCATTCTAAGTGATTTTAATTGTTTCTTTTAAAACTATATCAGTTAAAAACATTGTTAAGAAAGTTCTTTGTCAAAATGCTTTTGTTTTTTATTTGTTTAAAACTATTTTTGAGGCATTTTGCAAAATGAATGAAGAAACTTTATGCAGCAGAAAAGGTAAAATGGTTTTACCTTAGCCTTCTGTTAGACACACTAAATCTTCTAGCACAATTATCTGAGTGACTTGTTGACTGCTGCAGAGTTGACCTTTGACTCTATCTTTGACTTCATCAAATCAATGAGATCTTTGCTAGGATCACTTTCGAGTCTCCCCTATTTGATGAAGACAAACACCATTTTGAAAAAACAAACTCGAAAAAGAAGTCACTTGATAATACAGTTTAGTGAGAAATATAAAATTGTATTAATGTTCTATTTCTCCCCTAAAACTTATTTCTCCCCTAAAATGTTGCTCTCTTAATGTAAGAGTTATTTTTCTAAATTTATCCTCAAGTAAAGCAACTATTTCTCCCCTTTTGACTTCATCAAAAATAGGGAACAGAAGAGAAATAATAAAATGTAAAGGTTTGAAATATGCTTAAGTTTTTGAAAATAGCCAGTAAATCAATATTTTACTCATGAACAGATCAATTAAAGTTGATTCAAGCTTATCTTCATTAACACGTTTGTAATGAATACAATTAACACGTGTAAAGATAAGGGAATCACGCTTTAGTAGCATGTTACAGGAACGACCATTAACTAAAGCCTTTAATCTTTCTTTCCAGAATAAAAATCGATTAAAAACAGTAACATAATCGATTAAAATGTTTTTGATAAATGATTTAAATCGATTGAAAGAAGAGTTTAATCGATTAAAACATGTAAGAATTTGAAAACATGAAACTTTAGTGAAATTAATCGATTATTTCGACTTTTAATCGATTAAAAAAATGTTGTATAAGTTCATTTAATCGATTAAAAAGATGTTGTATTGATTAAAACAATCAGTTTTGAAAATGAAGTAATGTTTAATGCATATTTTGTAAAACTGATCATCTAGAAGGATGTTTAACAATACTAACAACTACATTGATTAAATCTTAACTAATAGATCCATCAAAATCAGAATAAAATCTTATTTAGCTAAAGCTCTCGGGGATCTATTTAAATTCTATCTAGATTTTCCTGTTTCAACTTTCAACCTACATTATATAAATCAAGGCTAAAAATATTGTTTCGTTTAATAACCAGTGATACTACAGATCATAAATTGAAATTAGCATCAAAAGAGATAAGATATAAAGGAAAGGTAAGAAGGGACCCTTTTTATCCACCAATATTTAATTATCCCAATTTCCTTGGTTTTGTTGCAAATCCTCCAGTTTGGTGTAAATGAATTTGTTCTTATTTCCATGATTATTTGTGTCAGATGCCAAAATACGTGACTCAGTCATTTGATCCCCACCAATATCAAAAGATAATAGACTTTACTTTTGCTGGAACCAATTTTGCTCTATCAACTATTGAGACAACAACAATCTGTCTCTCTCAGTATCGACATGCAGACACGAAACTTTTCCTGAAAAGAAATCTTTTAGCAGTTCATGTTACTATTGACTGCATTACAGTCCATGGTTGACACCACAATGGAATTTCTACTACACATCGAGGCGGAACCATGTATCGACGGACGTACATTCACTATCAGATCCCACACAGAATGCACGATACCATAAATTGCATGAATCACAGGTTAATGATGTACCGAGATCGGAATTTCCTTCCATAATAGCTAACCTATTTCAAACTTTGCAGTCATCATCATCCAAGCGAATGACTGCATTCTTATTAATGTAGTATGATGGGTGTTATTCTCACTTTCAGTGAACCAGTCATCATTATCTTTGAGGAATGAATCATCTTTAACTTTGTTGTTTCCGAGTGGTATCATATGCACAAGTGGTTAACTAAAACTTATTCGGTAGAGTGGGCAATGATTAGTAATGCATACACAGCGAGAACTAGTGATGACAGTAATCCAGAGCTTTCACTATATTTGCCTTCGACTGAGGAACAAATCAACAGTTTAAAATTTATCCCTGTACACACATTCTCTCGTGCCACGTTATTCAATTCTTGAATTGCTTGTCCCGAGTGGTTTCCTTACGAGTGTCACCTCGTGACATTGATGATTAAAGCTAATTCTTAAATTTGCACAGTTTCAATGAATTTCACCAAGAGTTTTGAACCAATGCATGCTCAAGATTATTTCAAATATATTGCTAGGTAATATCAAGAAATCTAATGTAAACATTTGTTCATTGAACTTCCTAGTAATCAACAACTTATTACCGAAGCAACTATCACTTGAAAAATCTTTGATAAACTATGTTTTCAGATCCTAACGACTTGACCTGTTTGTAACTAGTGTCTATAAGAAAAGTTACAGTCTATTCTTTGATAATTCCTTTGATTTTCAATGTATTATTACGCAACATTCCATGTAAAGTATTAAGAGAGATGTAGACGTCTACAGCTTGAATCATGACTATGTTAAAATAACTTTTTCATCTATGGATAACTTTCCCACATGTAAAGTTTGCAGGTAATTCAATCGACAATAACTTTCCCACATTTATTCCACTAGTCTTAGTTTCTAATTCAAGGATTTGTTCGAGCATGTGCCATTTAAAGAAAATTGGGTGTTCCATAACGAGATAACTTGAATCAGATATGTTCGAGACTTATTTATGATTATCTGATCGCTACAGAGGCACAATTTACAGGACGGTGGGTGAAAGTATTATGCAGATTTTGTTTATCAAAGAAATTGGGTTTTTGATTCGAATTGGCCTATCAAACTTTAATTAGATGTTATAAATCTTGTTTTCAGAACCTAATTAATCGATTGATCAACTAATTATCTATTAATTTCATTTTTCCTATTAGGTTTGAAAACAATTACAGTGAATTAATCGATTGGTTTATAAAAGAATCGATTAGTTTGGTATAGAATGTGATCAATAAAATGACACCAGAATTTAAATCGATTAAAACGTAAATGAATCGATTAATTTTGATACCTAAGTGTTTTTAGTTGATATACAGTTATTATAATCGATTAAAACATTTAAACCAAAATCCTGAGATCAGTTCAATCGATTATTTCGACATTTTAATCGATTAAAATGGTACGGACAGATGTTACGTAAGTTATTTTAATCGATTAATATTGTTATATATCAATTAAAACAATTAGTTTAAATACTCAGAACCTGATTTCGCAGCTCTGATCTTCAAGGGATTCCCAGACTTGTTCCTGCATAACAAAT